TCCATACGGTGTACTGAGACATTGCCTGAGCAAGATAATCAGTCACGTGGGAAAGGCCGGGCGCAGCAACAACTCTGACGACAGCGGGTATAATTGTCACGCCATTATCAAGCTCGCATCCGACGCGGACAAGGAAATCGTGGCAATTAATGAGCCATCACCGCACCAATTAAGACCTCAAGCAGTGGCTACAGGAACTGATAATTATAGTACGCACGCGAATGACCGCTACAAACTATAAATACTGTGCAATCTGTGCATGTTTTACCCCTATCTGCGCACGACTCAGACTATTGTACCATTACCTATGATTAAGGATTCCCAGCGGAATCCGAAACGTCAAGACAATAAAACTCTTGTTCCAGTGGTCGCATATCTTTCTTCTAAACATAATTTTCACTGAATTTCACCAGAAATCTCCTCATTCTGTTTTATGGCAGTCTTGGGGGGCATGCTGTTATGTTCCACCATTCCGTTGACTGTACAATTACCCGCAGTGGCTACCACATTGTCCTTAAACAGTTACTTATCAGCCATGAGATAATGTGATGCACTTTCTCTGTTTGTGAATTTCGCCCGAAAAAAACCAACTTAGATTTTGGCGAGACAGATGGGGGCATTTTCTTAACCCAGCAAACCTCGGCCTACGGATCAGTAGTTTTGTCGAAAAGAAAGACAATAAAACCAACAGCTAACGCGGGCAAGTTTTGAATTCGTAAGTTATTGGCTAATAACTGGCAGGGCTCGTCTTGCACAAGTGATAAAAACTGGACCTCTCCGTCAACATTCTGTGCGGCCTTCAGACTAGCAGTCACAAATCAGGGGACTTTTGGATAAGCTCTAATGGTTCTCAGCTCCAAACACTAAAAAAAGACGAAATAACTTCCTACTGCACAGAATGGTCAAACTTACGCTGAACGATCGCTACTCATCGTCTTGCCATTTTCCATCTGATAAGCCTCCAATTGGGTGAGATAGGGTCGATGTTGCTGCTGCTGCTGCTGCTGCGGATGACGTTGATGATTATGCGATGGTGGTTGTGAAAGTGCCAACTGATGTATCTGTCCGTCCACGCTGTCCCCGGAAACTTGCTGGGAAGGACGAGAATCGCCAGCATCGCCACCAAGGCCGTTTTGCATGAACTTGCGGGGCCAACCAACCGTTCCCCGAGCCCCTTCTATGCCAATTCTGTTAATGACACCAGGTATTAGGAGAGGATTAACGTTCTCCCAAGTGACTCCTCCACCACCAGGCGCGGATCCGGAGCTGCTGGTAGCGGCTGGATCGCAGATGGCTCTTTTGGCGCGTTTTGCATCGCTGTGGCAGCCAGAGAGGTGCATATCCGCCAGAGGCCTGTGCTGCTTTGATGTTCCACCGTGCCCGGACCCTGCATTTACCGTGGCCATAGTGGATGCCGGGTGTTTGGCGACATCGGTGTGGTGGGTCGTTGGGGAGATTCGGTTGGTGACACCTGAACATCGGACAGCCTCGTCGTCTTTCTTGACCGCCGCTGCAACAATCGGTGAATTCGAGGATCTCGAACGTGAGGCCTGATCCGTGTTGTTGTTTACCGGTTCGCTCTTGCCGGCCAGTTGGGAGATTTCACGCACGCAGTAATACTTTATTGCGTTTGGTTGACGTCCAATGCGACTACCTAATTGGATAACAAGGAAGAAAAATAAAGACTGATATTTATACAATTCTTAATTCAGTCCAAGACATAAGCAATTGCAGCAGTTGGTAAACGTCTTAAACTATGCTTTCGAATCAAATGATGGCTTTAGTTCAGTTCAGTTTTACTAAGGGCGGATATTTAATATTCACTAGCAAGGTACGTATTACTGGTCACATGCATAA